GGAGTCCACAAGTCTTAAAGTGGCCAAGTTTGGGGACCCCTGACATAAGGAAACAATTCAAGATGAAAAATTCCTGCATGTTTTATTAGACAACTGCTCTCTCTCTCTCTCTTTATGCCAACTGGCAGCAACTTCCAGAGTTTTGTCACCTTGAAACCTGACGTTCCCTAAGTGTGCAAAGTTCTCCATTCCTATGGAAAATCAGAATATGTGGCATAGGGCAGTGGGTTTTGTTTAGTGGCTGAAGCGCTGTAGCTCCTTACAGTTTTGACTCTCCTTTGTCCTGCGTTTTCATACCAGGACCTTGAAATGCAGGAATAATACGGAAAACTTTTGCTTAAAGAGTTTGGTGTTTTTCTAAAAAAATAATCCCTCACTTGTAGGGTTTTGCATGTAAAAACGTTTTTTTTTTTTTTAATATGCTTGATGGCAATAGCTTTTGTAGTACTTCAAATTTTATTTCTATGGTACACATTTCTTGACCAATGGACTTTCATGGGTTTTTTCTTTGAAAAAGTTTCGCTTCTCATCTAAGAAGCTTCTTCAGTTCAAAGAAGTCCAGTTTGTGGCTTTTTTTGGGGGGGGGGGAAACATCTTTGGGACAACTGTGACCTGGATGCTTTAAGAATCTCTCTAGATTTTTCTTGGATATATTTATTGACATTTAAATTAGGCTTCCTGGTTTGTCTCTTTGTTTGTTCAGCAGAGAAAGAAAGTTGTTAGTGACAACTCAGCATTTGAAGAGAGACTTTCTGGTTTTCTGATCTGTTTCTTGAAAGCTGCACAGGTTACTTTCTGCAAACCTGAGACTGTGTACATCTTCCCAATACTTTTCATTGAAGTGCACAGTTGCCTATTTTAGCATTGTGCTATTTCCATCCAGGGGAGGCTAAACTGTCTCCCCCCCCCCCCCGAAAACTTAAAAGAACTCTTTGGAAGTAATTTAGTGCATAAGTGACCATTTCATGACCTCTGAAGGGAAATGTATTTTCCATCCAGATCAGAATTGCTTGGACCCTCTATGGGACATTCCCTGGAAGAAGTATTAGAATATACTTTGGACTGCTGAACAGATCATAGATTTCCTGTTAGGAAGACAAATGTCAGCATCTCTAACTTAGAAGCATTTTACAACGGGTCTAGTTGGGTTTATGGAAAGCTGAAAGCAAAGATCGTCTTTAGTTATGCATTCTTGAACTTTATTTAGCCTCCTGGATAGTTAAGCTTTGCGTTAGGGATTTCTTGCTGGGAGATTTGTAAAGATACCAACAAGGGGGTCTGATAACAGAAGATCACATATTAACCTCTAAAGAATATAGATTGAGCAGATCTCCAAAGCGTACTGCTTGATCCTTTAATCCTTATTGTCAAGAAGGATCTGGAAGCATCATTTTTTCCCCCTTCCAGAGGTGAAGAAAGGGCTCCAAATATCCATACCATATCCAGAGTTTCCTGCTGGGTTTCCCAGGAAGGAGTCTTTGATGTCCCTTCCATCCAAAGGGTTGGTGGATAGGGCCCCCCTCACAGTAGCCTCATGGCAGAGTTTCATTCTGGATCCTTGTGCTTTCTTTTTGGAAAGTCAGCTAAAATGGCGTTGGATCAATAAGACCTCCAGAGTGCAAACCTCGCCATCAAAGAGGTCGCCCCCAGAGGGTGTGATACGTGTAGGTTTTAAAGTGTATGATTAAGTTGTTTGCACTTTTTTCTTTTGATGAAGCTTTTCTTCTTCTTCTGCCATATGTTGGTTGGCAACCTGCTGAGGCAGTGAATGGCTGCTAGAAAACTTTCCGTTTTGCGCTCAGAGGTTTTAGAAATAGCTCTTCCAAACTAATGTTTATACCTTTAGTCTTTGGACTTCAAGCGATGGGATTTCGGCTTTTTGTGTAAGCTGACTTGCTGGCTGGGGAATTCTGGGAGTTGAAGTCCCCCTGTCTTAAATTGGCCAAGTTTGAGAAACCCTGGTGTCCCCCATCCTTGATCGTTGACCTCTTTGGAAAACCAGAATGGAATGCTTGGCTTCTTCCGCTTTAAATTTAACTTGGAAGCTTTGAAGTTTTATTTTAGATAGTTGCTAGCTGACTTATCCCTTTGTTCGTGATAACCTCTCTCTCTCTGTGTATCTCTGCCTCTTTCCCTCTGTGTCTCTGTCTCTCTCTCTCTCTCTCTCTCTCTCCCCCTCCCTCTCTGCGATATGGTGCATTACAAGCCAAGGATATTCTGCTCAAAGAATTTTTCTCTCTCTTGTTTTTTTCCTCCCCAGCCAAGCCGATATTTTCAGTTGACATTCATCCAGATGGGACCAAGTTTGCAACCGGAGGGCAAGGTAGGGTTGTCGAAAATGATTCTTGCTAAACTCCTGCACCTAGTCTGTCAAAGGAACTTAAACAGTTAACCTGTACAGGTACACTTCGCTTAGGGGGCCGCTGGTTCAGCCACAGTTCAGACTCGCCGTGGTGGGAGGGAAGACACAAAACTGGTCCACAAACATGGCGCTGCAACCCCCCCCTCCAGTCACGTGATCATGATTTGAGCACTTGGCAAACTGCTCTTACGGGAGTTGCAGCTTCCCACGGTCACGTGATTGCAGTCTGCAACTTTCCCTGCTGGCTCCCAACACGCAAAGTCCACGGGAAAGGTGAGCGGTCCTCACCGAACAACCTGCGATTTGCTTAGCGACCTCAGCAGTGGCGTTTCCCTCCTGCTAATTTAAAGTCATTAAGTGAGAACAGCCTGCAAACAAGCATCGGTTTGTCCTTAACAAATCTCTCCTGGATCAAGTCATGCTAAACGTATGTTTTACCTAAGGATAATTTTAAAGTGGTCCTTTTGATTGGGATACAGAAGCTGTTCTGATCTAGGCTTCCCCAACAGCACAAAGCCGACTCCTCGTCCCGATAAACCCCTTTTATTTAGTTTACAAGGAATTCCTCTCCAGCAAGTCCCAGCTAACAGTCTTTCAAGATATTTCAACAATTACAGACCTTTATCAGACTTGGAGAGTTGCCAGGCTGATATATTCCAAATGCCACGCTGTAGCAGACAATACTTGGCAAGGATGCAGGAACAGATCTTCACCCAAATGAACTAATTGTCTCCTGCAAAACCACACTCCCCTTTAGCTCCTCTTTCGTTCCCTATGGGAGGGGTCATTCAAACATCCACCTGTGCCTTTACTTCCGAGTCGACCCTTGTTCCTTAGCTGTTCCCTTCTTCTGGCAGCTCTGCACATGCGCACACTGGGAACAGGCTCCAGCTATTCTTCTGCCTCACTAATGTCCGACTCCAAAGGCAGCTGGTACATTTTCCCCCTAATTAAAGTGGTGCTAGCTACAGAATTAAAAAACAACAACACTGTGAATTAAGTGCTATAGGTGTTTCCTGAGACCTTAAATTATCATTAAAAATGTTTGTTGCTCTACAGAAGTTACATTTTCTGTAGAATCCAGGTTGTAGCTATGTTTTTTTCATAGTTTTGCAACTTTTAGCTAAACTTTAAAAGATGCAGCGCAAAACTGGATTGGAAAGGCGGCGTTTCTTTGTAGCGTATTTTTGTTAAGATCCTATTGCTGCAGCAGAAGCCTCAGTGGAATTGGGCCTTCTCATTTTAAGCTGTGTGGACTTCAAATCCCAGAATTCCCCAGCCAGGCCATCTGGGGAATTCTGGGAGTTGAAGTCCACACAGCTTAAAGTTGCTAAGGTGGAGAAACCCTGCTGTATAAGCAGACACTTCTAGCGCTCTGTTATTTGCTAAATTAAGGAGGAGGTTACTCTCTGCTTCGAAGAAAGCTCTAAGGACAGTGAGCAAAGATACACAGCCTTTTTTTCTTTGTAGTAACTGCAGTGAAAAGTTTATTCTTCCTTGTGCCTTTAGGACAAGATTCCGGAAAAGTTGTAATATGGAATATGGCTCCTGTCCTCGAGGAGGAGGATGAAAAGAACGAGAATGTACCCAAAATGCTTTGTCAGATGGACAATCATTTAGGTATGGTAGAATAGATCTTTCTTTTGGGGGACTAATGGGCTAGCATAATTGGAGCGCCAGTTTGGTCTAGTGGTTAAGTCACCAGACTAGAAAGCAAAAGACCGTGAGTGCTAGTCCCACCTTTGGCATAAAAGACAGGTGACATTGGGCCAATCACTAGGAGATGGTGAGTTCTAGTCCCACCTTAGCCATGAAAGACAGCTGGATGACATTGGGCCAATCACTAGGAGATGGTGAGTTCTAGTCCCGAGTTAGGCACAAAAGCCAGCTGGGTGACTTTGGGCCAGTCACTCTCTTTCAGTTCAACCCACCTCACAGGGTTGTTGTTATGGGGAAAATAGGAGAAGGAAGAGGGTGTTTTGGATAAGTTCACCACCTTGTAAAAATAATAAAGGCAGGATACAAATAAGGCATATCATCCAATGCCGGACAGCTCATCTTACATGTTGGAGGATTAAAAAGACACCCGTGCTTTGAAAATATCACCGGGTGGTAGCTCTTCCACTAATACACGCTCCAACCTTAGTGTAAGAATGTGTTCTGGGGCTATTTCTTTTTTTCAAGCATCATCATCATCATCCCGTTTTTGTTTCAGCCTGTGTGAATTGCGTGCGATGGTCCAACAATGGCATATACCTTGCTTCTGGGGGAGATGATAAACTGATCATGGTCTGGAAAAGAGCAGCGTAAGTGTATTTTCCTCCCCTCTCTCTAAATTTAATTCTTGGCATCTTCCTTGTGCTCCTTTGGGGAAAAAAGTTCTTTATCTTATGCTCAAGGTTGGGTAAATACCTGTAACAATAACATCTATCTTGTAGTGACTCTATGGTGCCATATTTTATCATATTTTATCTACAAGAAAACTATCCAAGCTCAGAGAGCACCAGGGACCCCTCATTTCAACTCCAAACTGCAAATATTTTCCTTTATCGACTCCCTTCCTCTGTTTCTCCCCTAGGTACATTGGGCCCAGCACCGTGTTTGGTTCCAGTAGTAAGCTTGCTAATGTAGAGCAGTGGAGGTGTGTCTCAATTCTGAGAAGCCACTCAGGAGGTGAGAGTGCTTGAAACTGACCAGCTCAGGTTGATGACGTTTGGAAGTTGTACTTTTTTTTGGCATCGCGTTATTCCAGTCTAGTTACAGGTAGTCCTCAACTTGCAACAGTGCTTTTAGTGACCGAAGTTGCAACGGTGTTGAAAAAAAAATGACTTATGACTATTTTTCACACTTACAACCACAGCAGCATCCCCATAGTCATGTGATCCAAATTGAGACACTTGGCCAATGATGGCCTCAGGGTCACGTGATTCCCTTTGGCGACGTTCTGGCAAGCAAAAGTCAGAAGGGATAAGCCAGATTCGCTTAACCACGTGACTGATTTTTAACAACTTCAGAGATTCACTGGACAACGGTGGCAAGAGAGGTGTCAACTCATAAAATATTTCTAAGGTCTTTTTAGAGTTGCCAACAGAAGGGGGGAGCAGTGCAGCAGCTTGCAAATCAAAAGTGCATTCCGTAGATATTTTCAAAGATAGTAACTAGGTGATCGAAGTTTCTGCCGGGCAAAATCGTAACTGGAGTACTCTTGGCTATGGATGTGCCCCATTGGAGAATATGAATTGTGATACACCCAGGGGGTGGAGGGAAAAGCAGGGTCAAGGGTAACAGTGAATGATGTGTCTCAGAGTTGGCTCCACCCAGGCAGTGCCAGACACGTTAACTCCCAATAAATCCTTTTGGAGTTTTGGAAGTTTGGCTCGAGACTCAAGATTTAATTGGGGGTAACTGCCGGAATCCTGACAAAAGATTGCAAAACAGGGCCAAATTTACTTAACTGTCTGGCTTATCAGTAGAAATTTGGGTCTCCCTTATGGTCATACGTCAAGGGTTACCTGTATTTAGGTACCCCCAAAACAAGGATACCTGCAAGATATGGTTCACAAAGGCAGTTGTGATGTTACAATTGAAGCTCAGTTTAGTTTTTATGTACATCATGGAGGTCCAGTTGGGGTGTTGCACCTTCTGCCCAGCGGAGTAAGAACAGAAACCAACCAAATCCAGACTAGGCAGGTAGTCCTCGACTTACGACATTTTGTTTAGTGACCGTTCAAAGTTACAGTGGCACTGAAAAATGTGACTTACAGTTGTGTTTCACAGTTGCGACCTTTGGAGCATCCCCATGCGCATGGGATCAATGGGGAAATCAGATTCACTTAACTGTCAGCTGGCTAACTTATCAACTGCAGCGATTCGCTTAACGGCAGCAAGGAAGGTTGTAAAATGGGGCACAAACTCATTTAACAAATGTCTCACTTAACGGCAGAAATTTGGGGCTCCATTGTGCTCGTAAGTCGAGGACTACCTGTATTAGTTTATTCCGGTAGTCTGGGGTAGGGGTCTCCAACTTTTTGTGACTTTAAGGCTCGTGAGCTTCTATTTCCCAGGCTGCTTGAGGAATTCTGGGAGTTGAAGTTTAACAGGCCTTAAAGTTTGCAAAGTTGAGACTTTGGGCTACAACCAGAAATATCCATACATTAGACCTCCCATCAGTCCCTCAAACCTGCTTGGTGCTTTGCAACACACCACCCCTGGAGTCACATGACCATAAATTTGGGCGCTAGGCCATGGGTTTGCCTTTGCCAACCCATTGCAGTGTCACAGGATTAATTGGTACGGACCAATTGGAATTCGTATTATCGTGTTTTTAAAACTTCTATGTAGACGTCATGGATGTGGCGTGGTCCCCTCACGACGCTTGGCTAGCCTCCTGCAGCGTGGACAACACGATTGTGATCTGGAATGCTCTCAAATTCCCTGGTAAGGATACTTGGAAGCTGCTTTTGGACTTTCTGCTTGAGAGGGCGGGGAAGGGGAAAATGAAACATTGATTTTTGGGTTTGGCTGATTAGATAGATTTATAGATAAGAGCCAAGGTGGCGCAGTGGTTAGAGTGTAGTACTGCAGGCTACCTCTGCTGCCTGCCAGCTGCCTGCAATTGGGGAGTTCGAATCTGACCAGGCTCAAGGTTGACTCAGCCTTCTGTCCTTCTGAGGTCGGTAAAATGAGGACCCAGATTGTTGGGGGCAAGAGGCTGATTCTGTAAACCTCTAGAGAGGGCTGGAAAGCACTGTGAAGCGGTGTATAAGTCTAAATGTTATTGCTCCCTTCCTTCCTCCCTTCCTCCCTTCCTTCCATCCATCCATCCATCCATCCATCCATCCTTCTGGTTAGAATGCAATAATGCAGACTGAATCACTGCCCACTGCCGGCAGTTCAATCCTGACCGGCTCAAGATTGACTCAGCCTTTCGTCCTTCCAAGGTCGGTAAAATAAGGTGGCCAGAGGCTGACTCTCTAAACCGCTTAGAGAGGGCTGTAAAGCACTGTGAAGTGGTATATAAGTCTAAGGGCTGTTGCTATTTGATATTATAGGAATGGCTACTATATACTATTGTATAAAAGTAAAAAGTCAAGGTTTCATGTTATTGTCTTATTCTACTGCATCAAAAGGACTCGGAAGTCAATGCTATTTTTTTTTCTTTCCCCCATCTACCTACACTTATCTCTCTTCCTCCTTTCCTTCCCTACTTCACCTTCGTTTTGCTTTATATTTTTGTACTTGATGCTTTGCTATATTAATTTCAAAAAATTCTGAATCTCAAAATTCCCTAGTAAGGGACCAGCACTAACTGAATTGTCCTGCCCATGGGTGAAGATCTCATCTCCTGCTTTTCTCTAATCTAAAGCATTTCTAGCCATCTTTCCACGCTCTCTCTCTCTTTTTTGTCCTCCCCGCAGAAATCCTTGCCACTCTGAAAGGTCACTCTGGCCTGGTTAAGGGGCTCACCTGGGACCCTGTTGGGAAATATATTGCCTCTCAAGCTGACGACCGAAGTTTGAAAGTCTGGCGAACCATGGACTGGCAGCTAGAAACCAGCATTACCAAACCTTTTGATGAAGTACGTCTTGCAGTAACCATGATCTTAACATTTTTCATGCATCGTTTCCATCCTTCCACAGTCGGGGCTTCCAAGTCAGTTTCAAAAACACCCACCTGCCCGAAACCCTTTAAAGCAGCTGCACCTTTTCCTGGAATCTCATAGTGGAGAGACCCAGCTGCTTGGAAAAAAAGTGGCAGAGAGTGGTTATGTCCAGACTCCGCATCACCTTTTGGGAGGTGGGGAATCAGATACTGCTATATAGGAGAGGACTAGGTTGAGCCCGAGGGAGGAGTCAGACGCAGGGGTGGGATTCCAAAATCCCAGCAATTGGTTTGCTTCCTGGTTGCTGGGTGGGCGTGGCCTACCAGAACTTTCGGGAGCCCATTTTTCACCTTCCCCAAAATCTGGAGGCTTACCTCAGGACTCTGGGAGGGCGAAAACTGCCTCTGGGGTCTGAAACATTCTTTTTCTAAGTCAAGGTCATGTTATTTCTGCACCTGGGTGAGGGGACATCTCAAGTTGGGACGGATGGTGATTGGGCCATGTGATGTGATGATGGGGTGCAGGGGGTGGATTTTGTAGTTTTTACTTATTGCAAGGAAGCCCGGAACTTTCATATTCGGGATTCCCCAGTTGTGCCAATTTACTATCCAAATAAAAAAGAACCTTTGAGAAGATGCCTGTCTCGGAGTTATTGGTTGGAGTGGAAGTTTTCTGGAATGCCGACACTGACTTCATTTTGTGCACAATGCCCTTGTTCTCTTTCAGTGTGGGGGCACAACACACGTGTTGCGCATCAGCTGGTCTCCTGACGGGCACTACCTGGTCTCGGCTCACGCGATGAATAACTCTGGGCCCACCGCCCAGATCATTGAGAGGGACGGGTGGAAAACCAACATGGATTTTGTCGGCCACCGCAAAGCAGTGACCGTCGTGGTGAGTTCTCTCCCATCCAGAAGATAGATTGCTCCCAAAGTTAATGGCGTCAAAGAAAAAGGTGACTAGTCAGGCTTTGAAAGGAGTCCTGCTTGAGGGTTCATAATTAGGGGAGCCGCCTTGCAGGGGAGATGGGCATCGTAACAATTTAATTGATAAATGAAATGTTGATATGGGTAGATTGAAGGAAGAGTCAAAATACTCAGAATATCAGGCTCAACAGCAGTAACTGTGAGAGAGATCTTGGAGTCTTAGTGGACAACCAGCTAAATATCAGCCAGCGGTGTGTGGTGGCAGCCAAAAAAGCTAATGCAATCCTAAGTTGCATTAACAGAGGGATACAATTGAGATCAAGGAGGTATTAATAAAGCTTTAGTAAGACCACACCTAGAGTACTGCATCCAGTTTTGGTCACCACACTATTAAAAAGATGTTGAGACTCTAGAAAAAAGATGTTGAGACTCCCTCTCTTTCCTTTCGTTTTTTAAAGATAATATAAAATAAAAAAAAAGAAATGCTGTTTTTTGCTCCAGACTTATTTCTTTTAATATGAAACTCTGATAACAAATAACAGATTATCTGTTATTTGTTATCAGGGTTTCATATTAAAAGAAATAAGTCTGGAGCAAAAAACAGCATATCTTTTTTTTAATTTTATATTATCTTTTTTTTTAAAAAAACAAGAATATTCCCGTTAAGAAAGTACAGGTCAAGCTTACGGCCACAATGGAGCCCAAAATTCATGTCGCTAAGTGAGAATCTCTCCTCCCCCCCCACTCCCAATTTCACGGCTTTTCTTGCCACATTTGCTAAGTGAATTCCTACAGTTGTTTAAATGATTAACAAGGTTGTTAAGTGAACCTGGCTTCCCCCATTGGCTTTGCTGGTCAGAAGGTTTCCAAAGGGGATTCCGTGACCCCAGGACACTGCAACTGTCATAAATGTGAGTCTCTTGTCCATAGGGATGCTTTGATGGTCATAAGTGAGAGGACCAGTCCTAACTCCCTTTAAAAAAAAAAAAAGTGCTGTTGTAATTTTAAACAGCCACTTAAAAACTACCTGCAAAGTATCTCTGGGTTCAAAGTATCTCCTGCAAATTATCTCTTTGGTATCTCTTTTTTAAAGAAAAAAAACAACCCCATTTTTTCCCCCCCCAGAAATTCAATCCCAAAATCTTTAAGAAGAAACAAAAGAATGGCAGCTCCACCAAACCAAGCTGCCCTTATTGCTGTTGTGCCGTTGGGAGCAAAGACCGGTCACTTTCTGTCTGGGTAAGTAACAGGCCGGGTCAGATTTGAAGGGGGTAGGTGGTCTTTTGTGTGTCCTGTCTTTTTTGTACCCTGGGAAGCAATCAAAATTGTTTGGCCCTCCTTCTTGGGATGATGTTTTAAGCAAGAGGTGTCCAACCTTGGCAACTTCAAGACTTGTGGACTTCCAACTCCCAGCATATGGCCGACTGGGGAAATTCTGGGAGCTGAAGTCCAAACGTCTTAAAATTGACACGGTTCTCGTCAGTTGCTTGAGATGATATAGGATCTCCTCCTTGAGCACAGAGGGCTGGACTAGAAGACCTCCAAGGTCCCTTCCAGCTCTGTTATTTTAGCTTCTCTTTCGAAGTATTGGGTTTTTAAAACATGGTGCATATTCAGTGCCTTCTCCTTTCAACACGAAGGAGAGGATGTCGGGGTACCAGTCTACCTACAGAAGGACAGAAATGCAGAAATCGGTTAAGAAAACTGGAGGATTTATTCTGCGCTGCATATCTAACGCTTCGTCCTCGGTTTCTGGCAACAACCTTAATCTAACAGCTTTATTCAGATTCCTGAGTTTCATTTGTCTCTCCCTTGTTCGTTTTTTGTTTTTTTTTTAAATACAACAATGAGGAACCAATGGCCAATCAAAGCAGTTTTTATTTGCAGCCAAACTGGCCCGTGGCTCAGAATTTAAAATTTCTACTAGGTTGTAAATCTCATCATTTCTCCTCCTTCAGATTCAAACGTGGGGAAATTTCTGGCCCTGATGCTGTTCTGAAACACTCTTGCAGCAAAGATGAATGTATGCTAAATTAAATATGTCTTTAAATCTTAGGACATGAGACGCCTACTTATAATACCTGTAATTTTGTTTTTAGCTGACGTGTCTGAAAAGGCCATTGGTCGTCATACACGAGCTGTTTGACAAATCCATCATGGATATCTCATGGTAAGGTGGCTTTCTCAGGGACTTGCCTTCAGAAGTTGTGGGTGTTCCATCACCAGAGGCTTTTAAGAAGAGACTGGGCAGCCATTTGTTTGAAATGCCACAGGGTCTCCTGCTTAAGCAGGGGGTTGGACTAGATGACCTAAAAGGTCCCTTCCAACTCTGTTATTCTGTTAAAAGTCTCCTCTCTTCAATGTTATTTTAAGCGTTTACGTCAGAACAACCAAATCTTCACGCAAAGAATTCAGTTAGCTACTTTACTCCTCATGCTATCCACATGTATAATTCTAAGAGCACATTTTTACGATGAAAATTAATCACGACCTGCCACCTTTAAATGATCCAACCCAAAAAGTGGTTTATGGGATTTATTTATTTACCGTAGGCCAAACGTTCTTTAATTACAATTGCGGGGTCCTTGGGAGCTCTCTGAATTTGGGTTGTTTTCTTGCAGACATTTCATCACCCAGCTAGGTAACTTCATCAGTGTTAGAATTGCAAATCCACACCAAAAGAGTTTTCCCAGAGGGGTGAAACAGGATTGAGCGAAGCCCACATTTTCTGAAAAGCAGAAATGATTCCAGAGTTACCTTTTGGGGGGTTTTCAAATGCTTCTTGGACGAGAAGCAAAACTTTTTCAAGGACAAACAAAGTTTATTTTTTTTAAAGCCTCTTTGGGACAACCATGATCTGGATGAGTGAGATATTTTTTTCTTTCTTCTCCTCCTCCAGGACTTTGAACGGCCTTGGCATTTTAGTGTGCTCCATGGATGGATCCGTGGCATTTCTGGATTTTTCCCAAGACGAGCTTGGAGACCCCCTGAGCGACGAAGAAAAGGTGGTTATGGTTTACGCTGAGCATGCTGACCTTTCTAATTCCTTCTGCTTTAAATATTCTCAGTGTCAGGGATTCTGGCACTTAACCCCATTTAAATCATGAGTCTCGAGCAAAACTTCCAAAAAGGATTTGTCGGGACTTGACATGCCAGCACTGCCTGGGTGTAGCCGCCTCTGAGATACATCATTCATTGTTACCCTTGACCCTGATTTTCCCCCAACCCCTGGAGGTATCGTAATTCATATTCTCCAATGGGACACATCCATAGCCCAGAGTCATCAATCATCTTCTCCAGTTAGACTTTTGCTCGGCAGAAACTTCCAGTCACCTAGTTACTATCTTTGAAAACATTTCTGGAATGCACTTTTGATTTGCAAGCTGCCGCACTGCTCCCCGCTTTCCCCCCTTTCTGTTGGCGACTCTAAAAAGACTGTAGAACTATTTTAAGAGTTGACACTCAAGACTGCCTAGAGCAGGGGTGTCCAACTCGATTTCATTGAGGGACACCTCAGGGTTGTGTTTGACCTCGGGGGGCCAGGGTGGGCGTGGCCAGCTTAATGACACCTGTGTCAGGGACACCTGTGGCAGCCCGAGGACTCTGCTAGGGAAAACAGGCTCCCAAGCTCCGTTTCTGGCTGCAACAGCCTCCTGCAAATCTCTGGCCAGGGAAAACAGCCTTATTTTCCCTGGCAGAGGCACCGTGGGCCGGTCTATTTGCAGGGTGGCCCTGAGGGCCAGATCTAAGCACCGCGGGGCCCAGATTTTGACCCCCCCCTGGCCTAGATGGTCTGATCTTACGTCCCGATGCTCTTTCCCCCTTCAGAGCAACATCCACCAGTCGACTTACGGTAAAAGTTTGGCTATCATGACGGAGGCGCATCTCTCGACGGCTATTATTGAGAATCCGGAGATGCTCAAGTACCAGCAAAGGCAACAGCAAGCGGAGAAGAAGAACGAGGCCCTCCGAGACGGAACGGGTTCGGGAGCAGCGATAATGGCGCCTAAGCTGGCCAGCATGGTGAATGGAGAAAGCTTAGAGGACATTAGAAAGGTAGCGATTTCCTCTGCCCTCTTCGGTTCTTTGGTCCTCCTTCTCTGGTGAACTGATGATAAAATACAATATACCTGTCCTGCCATGTAGCTATGGAAGATCTGATGCCTTTTTGATAGAAGATTGTCCCTTCCTTCCTTCCTTCCTTCCTTCCTTCCTTCCTTCCTTC